GCAGTGGGGGAGGTCCAGGTTGGATATTAGGAAACACTATTTCACTAGGAGGGTGGTGAAGCACTGGAATGCGTTACCTAGGGAGGTGGTGGAATCTCCTTCCTTAGAGGTTTTCAAGGCCCAGCTTGACAAAGCCCTGGCTGGGATCATTTACTTGGGAATTGGTCCTGCTTTGAGCAGGGGGTTGGACTAGATGACCTCTTGAGGTCCCTTCCAACCCTGATATTCTATAAGAGAGACTGGACTTGGGGGGGAAAGTGGCTTTATTAGACAGGAAAGGTGAGTGTAGACCCAGTTTTGTATTTTAGGACTTTGTTTTGTGTTGTTACCGTTTGTTCCTATCTCGCTCTCTCATTTCTAATTACATTTTTATTCTTTCCTGAACAAACCTTCTCTTGTTTTATTGGCCGTGCTCACAAGTGCTGTGTGTGATACAGGAGTGGTGGTTTATGGTAAAACTTGTCAACTGGGGCACGCTGCATCACTGGGGGCAGAAGAGCTGGGATTTCTGTGAGGAGCCAGTGTCAGGGCTGGATATCACAGGGGAGCACTCCAAAGGGATGCAGGGACCTCAGTGCAGGTATTGTTAACCTGCAAGACAAAGCCAGGGCTGGCCTAGCCTGGAGGAGAGGACTTGAGAGGCTGAAAGGCCGGTGGGTTTAGGGAGCTGAGAGCCAGCTGGGCATAGGTACGGCTTCCTTCCGGTGCAGGCAGGGGGGTAACACGGTGACTCACAGCCCTGGGTAACCAGGTGTGTTGGGTGACAGGGCAGAGCAAGCCGACAGCCAGTGGGAGCTGGACACTGGGGGCGGGGGAGGCCCCACAGAAACACCCCAGGCTCAGCAGAGTCTGATGTGACTGTTGAAGCAGGAGTGGGCTGTGGGGGAGGGGGGAGAAGTTGGGGGGATTGTGACGTTTCCAGCAAGGAGTGTAAGGTGCAGAGACGGGGTCAGTGCGGGCTCCACACTCACCTGGCAGTGCCATGATGGAGATGATGATGAGGAGGAGGAGGAGCGTGGTCAGTATGAGATTGAGAACCACACTCGGAACTGCCCAGCGATGCGCCCGTGGTTCCAACCCAGACAGCAAACCTGTAATAGAAACAGCCAGTAATGGTCACGCTGCTGCTATGGGGGGGCGGAGGGGCGGGGGGCTACACTGATTAACTGCATCAACTGGAGCTCGTTTAAAGAAAAAGATATTTTCCAAATATATCTGAGAGAGAGAAATGTAGAGAGCATGAAGGGAAAATTTTCATTCCAAATGGGGAAGTCCTTCCACCGCCCCCCCCCCCCCCACACACACACACAAAACGTGTTGAAGGAAAAGGGAAAAAAAAAAGAAAAAGCGTGGGTTTCAATTTGAGGATTTCAGAGATTTCCCCGGCCCCTTGAAAATGTTTCAGTGGAAAATGTATTTCAAAAGTGAGAGAATGGGGGGAGGAGATGCCCACATTTTACATCAAAAATGGATTTTCCTATTTCAAACAAAATTCCCCCAAAACACAAACTTTTCCGTTTTGAATGAAGATTGCCGTTGTTACCATTTGAAACCCTGAAAACTTCTGAACCAAAAAAGTTGAGGGAAAATTGTCTCGTTCAAAAAAGCATTTCCCCCCAGAAGACGTTGATGGAAAGTTGACCAGCCTGTCTAGCATCAAAGGAGGAAGTGGGGTGAATATGCAGGGACTGAAGCAGAGACCTCTGGATCGAAAGACAAAGAGCTTGAAGGCCGTGGCTGACTTAAGTGTCTTTTACAGGGACCGGCCACTAGAGGGAGCTAAAGGCCCCCACTGAGTTAAAGTGTAAGAAGACCCCAGAGAGGCAGCTGTACCTGTAGGGCAGATTGTGCAGCTCTCTCCACCCTGGCGAGGGATGGACACATGAGTTGTTCCATTGTGTTTCAATGGGATTTCCTGGGAACCGAGGCGTGGATCTGGCTCTGTTGTTTCCAGGGGCGGCTCTATGTATTTTGCTGCCCCAAGCACGGCAGTCAGGCAGCCTTCGGTGGCATGCCTGTGGAAGGTCCGCTGGTAATGCGGATTCAGCAGCATGCCTGCGGGAGGTCCGCCGGTCCCGCGCCTTCGGCGTACCTGCCACCGAATTGCCGCCGAAACCGCGGGACTGGTGGACCTCCCGCAGGCATGCCACCGAAGGCAGCCTGACTGCCGCCCTCATGGCGACCAGCAGGCCGCCCCCCGCGACTTGCCGCCCTAGGCACATGCTTGGTGCGCTGGTGCCTGGAGCTGCCCCTGGTTGTTTCAGCAGGACACGACTCACTTCCCATCTTTTCTGTCTCTGAAAGACTTGTGGGCTCCAAAACGGGAAACATGTTCACCCGAACCACCTTTCTGCAGCCACTGGTAACTGAGGCCTGTTCACGGTGGGTCTGGCGATGCCGGCAGAGCCCTTCGTAAGGACAGATTCAAAGCAGTTCACTCGATTACAGCTCAGGTGCGGTTTGGCTACGTTGGGTGAGCAGGGAAAACCCCTTTCAGATATAATTGGATGGTGAGTTTTGCCCGAATACCCCGACCAGCCAGGCTGGGTCTGGGCTGTGTTTGAATGAACTGTTTCAAAGGTATCCTTGGCACTGCTTTTATCCCCAGGGTCAACCTGGCCTTAGCAGGCGCTGACCAAATCAACTCCAGGTCACTGAATCGTCCTTGTTCTGTTTCTTTTCACTGGCGTCCCGTCCCGTGGGGTCTGGGTTCGAGGTTTGCCTGTGGGGAGAATTGTCGGGTTACTCGGGCTGGCTTGTGTCGGTGTTTATCTGCCCAGACACAGCCCTGCACAGCAGGGTCGGTTCGAGCTGACAGTGCTAGGACTGCCCTGGTTTTTCTATTTCATTTAATCTGAAGGATCCCAAAGCACTTGACAAACACATGGAGGCAGGTGCTGGACTGGGGTCAGTTCCATGTAGAGAGAGTGGGGCCAGATCCCCAGCTTCTGGTGTGAATTGGGGCAGCTCCCTTAAAATCACTGACTCCACATCCCCAGCTGGTGAAATTAGCCATCGCTCCACTGCAGTCAATGGGGCCAGACCCCCAGCTCTGTTCGGTTATGTCTGTTTATGCCAGTGATACTCAGACCTCTGTGGTTCAGGAGAAAAAATGAGCGATCAACATTCCCCAAAAGAGCCACATTCGTGTGAATTCATTGTTTCATTTACTAAAGTACTATCCATATTCAAACAGTCTGAGGGGAAATATTTAGTGTAAATATATACTATTCTCACGGCAAATAAGTTAATAACTTAATTGGTTATTAACACAGTAACAGCTTCCTGACTGGTTAATAATTAAACCACCCAGTGGTTTAATAGCATGTTCTGTAAAGAACCGCAGCAGAGACATTAAAGAACCACACATGGCTCGCAAGCCGCAGTCCGGGTAGCACTGGTTGATAGTTGTTTCAGCCACACCTGAACTGGCAGGAATGAATTAACTTCCCCTTATGCAAGTAGTTTACAAGAAGTCGTTATGCTTCAATCTGAGAGCCTGAAATTTCATATGTAGGTGGGCAGTTCCTGCTTTCTGCCCTTGGGGATGCCCCAGGGAGTCCCTGCACCCCTGGCAGGACAGGGACCGGGAGAGCAGCAGACACAGATTCCCAGCTGAGCCCTGTGACAGCAGCAGAGCTCACAGCTGAGCAGATCTGACGGGAGCGACTCCCACAGCAGCACCAACTGCTTCAGCGGGAGGGGCAGGACACCCCTGTACTGGACAGTGATGGAATAACCTGCCCCAGGGAGAGAGTCTTCCCTCAGCCCCATTGGTTAGAAATTGGGGCTTGTACTTTGCCACTTAGAGCCCTTCCCACTCCAGGTTATGGTGTAATAGTGACGGTAACTCTGGAGGGTCCCATTATCTCTATAAATGCCAAGAGGTTGGCAGGATTTAGAAAAGAAGATTGACCAAGGATATCTTGTGGCAGTGAGTTCCACAGGTTAGCTGTGCCTTGTGTGGAAACGTATTCCCTTTCACCAGATTGGAATTTGCTGCCTTTTCGAGTCAGGGGAGTGGTTCAGCTATGGCTTCTGGGAGAGCTGTTGTAAAATGACATCTGCCCCCTAGTGGGAATGAAATGTCATTGCAATCAGGCAATAAACAGCTACATCAGGGGTAGGCAACCTATGGCACACGTGCTGAAGGCAGCATGCAAGCGGATTTTCAGTGGCACTCACGCTGTCCGGGTCCTGGCCACCGCTCCAGGGGGCTCTGCATTTTAATTTAATTTTAAATGAAGCTTCTTAAACTTTTTAAAAACCTTGTTTACTTTATATACAACAATAGTTTAGTTCGATATTATAGACCTATAGAAAGAGACCTTCTAAAAACGTTAAAATGTATGACTGGCACGCGAAGCCTTAAATTAAAGTGAATCAATGAAGACTCGGCACACCACTTCTGAAAGGTTGCCAACCCCTGAGCTACATCAATGAATCAATAAAAGGAAGCTAAACAAACAGCCCCTCCTCTCAGAGCTCCTCTCGGGTATTAGCAGAGCCGTGGGGTAATCGGCAGGGGGGCAGGGGTGCTAACGGCTACCTCAGCCTGCTGGCAATTGCCCGATAGTCCCATTGTGTGTCCTAGAACTGCTACAAGGGCAGGAATGCGGGAGACAGAAAATGCAGCAGTTTCCCCGGTAAGAGTCTCCCATGTTCATACGGAGATTCGGATTCTCCCCTGCCCGGCACCTTGGACCATCGCTGCCACCTGCCTAGTGGGGTATAAAATGCCACTGGATTAGAATAACCCCCACACACTGTTATCCACTGGCCTCATCACCAACCCACTGGCAACTACATCTGCCCTGTGATGGTGCCAACAAATCACTAAGGGTCCATCTACACTGCATTGTAAACTCAGTTCTGCGGGACCTGGGTTTGTGGACACTTGTGTCTGAGCCCACACGCATGAGCATCCACACTGCACTGCAAACCTGGGCTTACAATTGCTGCCCTGGGTCTCCCGGCCGTGCTAATGGTCCCCACTGCACCTCACAGACCTTCTGACGGGTCTGCGGCTTGAGTTGCGTCCACACTGCAAAATGACAGGGCTGAGACCGGAGTCACACCAGGACGCAGGCTCAGACCCACGGCCCTAGCCAGGTCCTCAGACCCGGGTCCTAAGTGCTTCCTGACCGGAGTCAGACTGATCTGTGTGTGGACAGAAGGGGGCTTGGGCTCTTACCTGGGTCAGAGCTGGGCTCACTGTGCAGTGTAGACACACCCTCAGAGTCACTTTCTTCCACCAGTCAGCAAGACGCTAACAGAATAAGGACTGACCTTTGGGTATGTCTACACTGCCCATGTTACGGCGCGGCCCCGGCAGCGTTGTGATGTGGGCCGTGTAGTCACGCTTTATCGCCGGGGGAGAGCAATCCCGGCAGTTCTGTGCGGCTTGTTACTCCAAGTGGAGTTCACACTTTAAACCCTGATATTTGTGATTTTAAGTGAGTCTTAAGTGCAGTGGCTAAGAACAGTCAGGAGGAGGTCACGGGTTTGTGATTTTCTGTTTGTTTATTTCGGGTGAGGGAAATAAGCACAAGAAAGCAGAAAAATGACAACCAGTGAGACAGCTACAAAGCTGGAGCTGGCCAGACTGGAAGCTGCAGAGACGGCAAAGGACCAGGAGTTTCCAATGTGGCCAGCAGAAATGAGGCTCAAAGAAGAAGAGGCTGCTCACAGAAGGGCTATGGAAGAGAAAGAGAAAGAGAGTGGGAAGAAAGAGAAAGAGAGCAAAAACACCAACTGGACCTGCTAGAGAAGCAGAACTAGAACCCCAACCACTCCCATCGCTCCAAAAATCCACAAGTGGGAACACGTATGTCCTGCACACGGTGAAGAGGATGATATTGCTGAATATGTGACTATCTTCCAAAGGCTGTGTAATACATGAAATCCCTGATGATAAGAGAGTTCCTGCCCTGATTGCGAAACTCGAAATGTATTCAGTGGAATGCCTGTTGAAGATGATTTAGAGTACTTTAAATTTAAAGATACTCTTTTGCGGAGTTTTCAGATTACCCCTAAAACATATAGAGTTCAATTTAGGAATCTGAAGCGGGATATTGGGATGAGTAGTGGGGCATATGTAAAGATTTGTTGGGGAAATGGTTGAAGGGTAAGGAGGTGGCAAGTTTTGAGGGAACGCCGGATCTTGTTGCTAAAGAGCATTCCCTAGGCATATGCAAGGCTGATGTGAAGCAGTGTCTCTGGGACAAAGAGGTAAAGTCTGTGGACGAGGTGGCTTTTTTAGCTGATGCCTTCGAACAGAATCAGGCATCTATTGAGGGCAGGCCCCAGAAAGAGGGGTTCAAAACTGGTGGGAAGGGAAGATCCCATTTTGCTCCTGGGAAGAGAGAAGGGGGTTGGGATCCTAAACATTCTCTTATCCAAAAACATTCCTCTAACCCTCATCCCAACTCTCCTGTACAAGCAGAAGAGCCCAAAAGGTGCCATCAGTGTAATTCCACCGATCACCCGAGGAATCAATGTCCTGTGCCAGGAGGAAGCAACCAGCAGCTCATGTTAGTTCTGCCGTCCTCAACACAGAACCCCCCAGGCGATTTGAACCTGCCATATTGGTTCTGTGAGGTTGGCCTCTGCAGAACCAGATATGGAGCATGTTCAGGCTGTTCTAATGAATGGCAGGGAGTACTTGGGGCAGAGAGATACAGGGGCCCAGATCTCTCTGGTTAAGCAGAGTGTGGTCCCAAAGGCCAGTATGTTGCCTGGCCAAATGGCAGAGATTGTGGGGGTGGGTGAAAGCAGATTCCTCATACCACTAGCTAAAATCCATGCGGTGTGGGAAGGTTTGGAAAGTGTTTTGACTGTGGGGGTAATGGAACACCTCCTAGTCGACCTGCTCCTGGGTAATGATTTTTTACGTGTAGCTCAGGTTAAAGTTGTGACGGGTTAGATCACAGAAACCCTCCTGGGGGCTGCCATCCGATGTGCTAAGACCACTTCTGCCCCTGCCTTCCCTGCCCGTTCAGGACCCCAGCACCCTGTCTTGCCGAGCCAGACAGTCCTGTCTGCTCCAACACAGACCCAGGGTCTGAATCACTTGCCCCAAGCTGCAGGTTTACCTGAAAACAGCTCACAGAAGTGTTCCTGTTTTTAACACTCAGATGCCCAACTCCCAATGGGGTCTAAACCCAAATAAATCTGTTTTATCCTGCATAAAGTTTATACACGCTAAACTCAAATTATTCACCCTCTATAACACTGATAGAGAGATATGCACAGTTGTTTGCTCCCCCAGGTATTAATACATACTCTGAGTTAATGAATAATTAAGTGATTTTATTAAATACAGACAGTAGGATTTACGTGGTTCCAAGTAGTAACAGACTGAACAAAGTAAGTCACCAAGCAAAATAAAATAAAATGTGTAAATCTATGTCTAATCAAACTGAATACAGATAATCTCACCCTCAGAGATGCTTCAGTAAATTTTTTCTCAGACTGGAAACCTTCCAGGCCTGGGCACAATTCTTTCCCCTGGTACAGCTCTTGTTCCAGCTCAGGTGGTACCTAGGGGATTCTTCATGATGGCTCCTCTCTTTAGCCAGCTGAAGACAAAATGGAGGGGTCTCTCATGGGTTTAAATAGACTTTCTCTTATGGGTAGAGACCCCCCTCCTCACTACTATGCAAAGTCCAGCTCCAAGATGGAGTTCTGGAGTCACCTGGGCAAGTCACATGTCCATGCATGACTCACAGTCTTTACAGGCAGAAGCCGTTGTCCACATGGTATCTTGTATGTCTCCAGGAAGACTTCTTATGTGGATTGGAGCATTCCAAGATCCATTGTCCTTTAAGTGTTTCTTGATTAGGTCCTTAATTTCAACATTCCTTTCTCCAGGAACTGACCAAATGCTCTACTAAGATTATTTAGAAACCAAGCCAGTTCACAGCCAACATTCATAACATCAAATACAAAAATGATACATGCATGCAAATCGGATTAATACATTCAGTAGATCATAACCTTTAAGGAGATATGTTACATGGCATATGTAGCATAAAACACATTCTAAGCATATTTCCATAAAGTCTTATGGGAAGTACCATCACAGGAGACACACCTAAACCCCTCCGGACAAGGGTGATAGGATTAAGGAAACTCCCCTAGCCTCATTTCCCTCGAAGATGGGACAAGGAGGCATCTCCATTAGCATACAGAATGGAGAACAGAGATTCCAAGGCAAGAACCGCATGGAACTCTGGGACCAGAAAAGCAGAGAAGCACTGCATCATGGGGGAATCTCTGCTCCAGATCTTAATGAACCCACACCTGCCCACACCCAGCTCAGCAGTTATCAGACCAATTCTAGTAATAAATCTTTTATTGGTATCCAAAATAGTGAAGCTGCCTAATTGGATTGTGAGCTCCCTCCAAGGAACACAACTCATAGCCAGGAATGATCAGCTCCCATGTCTAGCTTGAACAAAACAAACTTTGGTATCTCCCTTGTTTACACAAACAAATCTAGTGTCTCCCTTGAACCATTGCTGTGTCTCTACAAAAACCCCTACCCACGCTCAAGTAAGTGTTCTGATACCTGGATCCAAAATCCGCATCAGTTCCATTGGGATTTCATCTTCTCCTGACTGATGGTGCTGGGGGCTCTGCCTGTCTCCAGCACTCCAGACTCTCAGCTACCACCACCACCTGGGAACCCTGATCGATTCAAGCTTCACGGAGTGGTGAGAACCCAGCCCTCTCTCTCTCTCTCTCTCTCTC